TGCATATAAATTCCATAAATATATTAATAATATTATATTTAAGATCAAAATAGGCATAATTAATGTATAAATATATAAAAAATGTATATTCTAAAGATATATGTGAAGAAATATACTACAATTAAAACAGTGGGATGCATAAAATTCATAAAATTTTATTAATAATGTATCAATCAAGAATCCTAGAACATATTATATATGTTTTTTTTACAAATCAATACATGCATAAAGCTATTATTATGTTATTTTCTACTGAATTTCAAGGCACAAAACATATGCAACTATTATACATGAATTTTAATATTAACCAAAAGTCAACTAAGAATTAATTCTCAAATATTTAGTTAACAATATTTTTATTTTTGTAAACAATAAGCATGTTATTATAAAATTTGTAATTAAAATATCAATTAAAAATTTATAAAAATATATAATATTAACTTAAAATATATTAATTTTTTAAGATACACATCATATGCAAATTCAAAATTTTTAACTACTAAAATAAGTATAACATTATTAACATTTTTCCATAAATTTTTAGATAAAATATCATTTTTTGATATAAATGTAGAATAATGGATTTGAAAAATTCAATTTATATTATATTATTGAGTATTTTATAAATAACATTTTTATTTTTTGTAAATAATATATATATATACTTTTATTTAATTCAAATCAAAATAGTAATTAATAATTTATTCTATTATTAATATCTTTATTCGTATAAATTTCTTGAAATTAAAAACCACTTTTTGATATAAATGTGGATTTAAGAAATTATTTATTCTAGTAGTTTACAAAATATTAGTTTTGAATATTATTTTTTATTGAGTTGGACACAAATGTATGTTATTTGTACGCATTACATGTGAACACTAGAATTGATAAAATAATGTTCTATTACATTTGTTGTCATAGCTCGAAATGTGGTCTAGTGGATTAAGTGCGTGGATAAGGCTTTAGCGCTAGGTGATCATCCTCCATCGTCGATATTGATACGATACTCCCTGTAAAGGATGTATCGTATTGATATTTAAATCCTTGGTTAGACCGTGTATATATATATATATATCCCGATTGCAAAGTGGAGAAGCAAGATGATTGAAAAACTTACAAAAGTCGTTCAATAGTGAAGAGTTGATAAGGGTTTCATCGAAAGAAAGTAGAATAAATTGCTCTAACCAAATAAATTTGTAGTCATTAAACTCACAACTTGGTAGCACTGATCCCCTCATAATACCTAATTGCTTATGGTTGCCTTGGCCTCACGTCAAGACAATCATCCCAAAATTTTATTCTCTCTCTCTCTCTTGTACACCCTCATCGGTCCGACCATCGGAGTGCTAGTTTCTTAAGGAAGAGAAAGCTTTACTTGTTTCTCCTCTCTTTAGTATTGTTTCGTCAGGTTGCACCTGCGTGGGCCATAGGCAACTCCCTATGTTGGTTCTAGTTCTTATAAATACTAGCAATTAAGCACGTGCGTTGCATGTATGAATTTTTTTTCATATTAATTACTTGCATTTTAGATATATCATACTTAAGATATAAATTGAAAATTAATAAAAGTAACAATATGACTAAAAATAAACTTAAATACTTGTACTAAATGTGCACATGTACTAAATGCCATTGAAAATTATTATTATTATTATTATTATTATTATTATTATTATTATTATTATTATTATTATTATTATAATTATTATTATTATTACTACTACTACACTACTAAATTTTGTGTTCCATTTTTGTCTTAAATAGAAATAATTTTTATTTAATATAATGATTATATAACATTAGAAATGCTTGAAATGTCTTTACAAAACTTTATACTTTTTTATTTTTTGTGTTCGACCTTTTTTAAAATATTTATTATTCAATTATGACTTAATGAATTTCTTCTTTGAAAAGTTGGATCATTTACCCATCATTTAGATAAGAAAACAGCTTTGCTTTCGGATCATATTTAAATTATATATTCTATCTACATTATATAAATAATTTTTACTTATCACACTTAATTTTTGTTTGACATAATTAATATATAATTTTTTATATATTCTTTTGATTACTTGTACTTTTTTATTACTTTTTAAATATTTATTATTTAACTATCATATCATTGACTAATCCATTTGACCTAAACCACTAACCCACGACCTAAAAAAAAGTTTGATTTCTAGGTTGACATTAAATTTTGTATTACATTTCCATTATTGATAAAATTATATCTTATGTATAATATTTAGTTTTGTTCAATATAATGAATGTATAATATTATAGATGTACCCAATATTTTATTTTTTATAAATATATAACATTATATTTTATGTATAACATTTTTTAAAAATTTTATCATTTGACTATGACATCATTTCATTTCTAGGTTGATTTTAATTTCATTTTCATCATTTATAAAAATACTTCTTACATTTTATACTTATTTTTGTTCAGTTTAATGAATATACAATATTAGTGATGTGTCCAATTCTTTTTATTTTTTGTATTATATATTTTATTTGTTTTATTTTTTATTATATAATTATGGTATTATTTATTAACGCATTTGACCCCAAATGGTTGAATTGCTTACCCACCACCGAGAGTGAAGAAAATGGTTTTGTTTTCAAATTATTTTTCAAAATATTTATTTTATATTATTAAAATTAATATTATGGATTTAATTAGTATAATTTAATAATGAGAAAAATATATCTTAAATATAAGATTTAATAAGAGAATATACCTTAGATATGAGATTTAATGAGAGATAATAGAAAAATAGTTTTACTTCCAATTGGTTTTAAATTTTACATTTCATTTCCATCATTAATAAAAAAAAAGCATTTCTTATTTATCATCAATGTTTTCAACTTGTTGACCTGGCTGATTGAACCACTTGAACCGTCACGTGGCATTGATCCTAGGTTTGGTTATATTGAAACTCCCCCTTTTAGTTAAAAACTGCCTAACTTGGGTGGTTCAACCATTGCCCCATTCGACCCATTTACCAGGTTACAGGTTGCACACTTAATTATGTGCAAATTCTGGAAGCCATAACTAGGGGTGAGAAAAAAAGCCGAAAAACCAACCCGTCCGAAAAAAAACAACTGAAACTGAACCAAAAGTTCGGTTAACCAAACTTGTCAGTTCGGTTTTGACTCAATATTTTAAAAAACTGAAGGTACCGGTTCGATTTTGGTTAACCAAAATAGAAAACCGACAGTTAACTTAACCAACCATTATACTTATATTTATATATGTTTTGTGTATACTTATATTTATTTTGTATTTTCTATATATTATAAATTAATAAATATGCATTATATATAAATATATATTTCTATAGTAAACATTGTAAATAATAAAACCGAAAAACCGACGAACCGAACTGATGGTTAACCAAACCAATCAACCGGTTAACCGATCGGCTTCGGTTTGGTTTCAGTTACTAGGTAACCTCGATTCGGTTTCAAAAATTAGCCCCCGGTTCAATTAATCGAACCGAGCACCCCTAGCCATAACTTTGCACTCTGATGTCTGATTAGGGTTGTCTTTTTTTTTGTGTAACTTTTCAAGATTTATACGTCTCAAGGGCCTTAGGTGCCTTGCCTTGCTATTTTCACAAAAAAAAAACCCTTTTTAGGCCCCAAATTGAAATTTTAATATTTTTTTAAATAAAAATTAATCTGAATTAAAAAACATAAATAAATATAACATAATAGATATAGAATACATATATTATATCATATATTATATATAATATATGTAAAACATAATTATAAAATATATGTAAAGCATAATTATACTATTTATTGATAAAATATATATATTTTTTACATACACACATATAGTGTTGACGTAGAGCGGTTTGATTCATTTGACCTTGATAGTCCAACCGGTGACCTGTGACCCGAAGGCAAAAGTGGGTCGGCCTCTGGGTTGGTTTTGAAAACATTGTTTATCATACTGATTATTGTTTAATATGTTAAATATGTGATGTTAAAAATGTTCCCATTTTTATATTTTTATATTTTTTTGAATTTTATATATTTTGTTATTTAATTGTGGAAACATGGATTGGCCCATTTGACCCAAATGGTTTAATTTCTTTCCACCACCAAGATGAAAACACTATTTTTTTTCCATGCATATATTAAAAATATAAGTTTTATGTTATTGAAATTATTAATTTATTATGTATGGGTTTAATTATAGAATTTAATGATGAGAAAAAAAAAACAAAAAAGCTTTAAATATATGATTCAATGAAGGTGAATGCAAATTAATACCTTAAATGTTGGATTTAAGAGAAAGAATTGCATGCATTGAATATCTTAAAATTACCTCTTTTCAACTCATTTAATATCAATAACCAACTACCCTATTTGCCCTCATTTTTTATCAATAAATTTAAATATAGAGGGGTAATTTTTGTCTTCAAAAAATTCCAGAAATATTCTTGAGGCTATTCATACTTTTTATAGTAAAGATATATATTTGGCATCCATATTGTAGATACAATATCGTTTTCTCATAAAACAGTAATGCTGATGTGTGGGTTGGAAGCACCTTTTCTAAGAAAACAGTGTCTTTTTTTTTTGTTTGGAAATGTTACTGCTAGGTAGGGTGTTTTCTAGAGCAACAACAAAGTTTTCCGTTTGGTACAATGCTCCAAGAAACGTTTTCAGCACCAGTACCTATTATCCAGTGCCACGTTATGCCCCCTATCTCTGCCACCTCATATCTCTATTGGCAGCAACGAGTTGCAGCTCCGGTAAACGTCAAATTCGGCGCTCCTAGTCATGCCTTCCCAATTTCTAAGGCATGGCATGAAGTACCGTTTTTTATGGAAAAATAGTTTTAAACAAAGTGTTTAATGGAACACCATTTTTTTCCAACGTGGCCCTGATGTAACGCCATTTTCTGGAGCAACGCCATCGATACCAAATAGACGCATAATGACTAGGAGGGAGAGACACGTTTAGGTCAATTATTGGTACCTACTCTCGAATAGGTTGAAGTTGAACCAACCCCATTCCCCAGGGTCACCAATTTTCTTCCAATTCTGATAAACGATAATCCGTTTTCGGTCCAAACTCCAAATTCGATATATTGGGCAAGGATGAATTGAATTAATAGTTTGACTCTTCAGTCTTCCATCATCCTGTGCCTGAAGACTCGCTAGGTGATACGTGTTTTCTGTAGATTACTCGTCCATGGAGGATTATTCTCTCCCTCAAGATTCTCTTTTTCTTGGATTCGACAGTTCTACTCAGTAAGTTGGTTTTGATTTCTTACCTTGCGTTTTTGCTTTCCCGATTTTCTCCTATTCTATATTTCTCTGTCCCGATCTTTAATTCGAAAGAATAACTTCACAGTCAGAACCCTATAATTGATTTCTCTTGGAATTTGATAATTTAGGTCTCTCAAGGCGACGGTTCTAGACTCCAACCTCAACATTGTGGCTTCTGAGATAGTGCATTTTGATTCTGAATTGCCCCATTACAAGACAAAGGATGGAGTCTACCGAGACCCATCTGAGAACGGCAGAATTGTCTCCCCCACATTGATGTGGGTGGAAGCTCTGGACCTCCTGCTTGGGAAATTCGCCAAGTCCAAGTTGGACTTCGGAAGGATTGCTGCCGTTTCTGGCAGCGGACAGCAACACGGTAGTGTGTACTGGAAGAATGGCAGTTCTGCCATACTGGGTTCTCTAGATGCCAGGAAACCATTAGTGGATCAGCTTGGAAACGCATTTTCCATTAAGGAATCACCCATTTGGATGGATAGCAGCACCACCGATCAGTGTAAGGAGATAGAGAAAGCTGTTGGAGGTGCACTGGAGTTGTCCCGGCTTACAGGGTCCCGTGCACATGAGAGGTACACAGGCCCACAAATCCGGAAGATATTCGAGAAGCAGCCAGATGTTTATCGTGAGACTGAGAGGATCTCCCTTGTTAGTTCCTTCATGGCATCTCTTCTTATTGGAGCTTACGCTAGTATCGATGAGACTGATGGAGCGGGGATGAATTTAATGGATATCAAACATCGTGTCTGGTCTAAAATTTCTTTGGAGGTCCGTTTCTTATAATCTGATCGAGTGCTCTAACATATCTCTATTGACATATATCAATTGTGACCTTACCCTCATAATGCTTGTTATAGGCTACTGCACCAGGATTAGAAGAAAAGCTGGGACAATTAGCACCTGCCCATGCTATTGCTGGTTTCATTGCCCCTTATTTTGTGGAGAGGTCAGTTGTCCACTTTTTGTTTCATGGAAACGTTGAAATGTCCAAGATCTCTTCTAGGAACTGCTAACGCTAAGCCTTCTGATTTCTTCTGGTCTGAAATCCTGACTCTGGTCAATTTACATATATTAACTGAATTCTGAATATTTTTATATATTTTCATGCACTAAAAATATTAAAGTAATAAAATACTCAATATACAAAGAAAAGAGATACCAATAAGACATCTATAAAGATGCAGTTTTTGGATTGTTCAACACTAATTACTAATAATTTAACAATGGATATGGCTTTAAATAGAAGTATAGATATGATTGACAAAACAGGATTCATGTAGCCGACTCCATATAGTTGGGATAAGGCATAGATGATGATGATGATCTAATGCTCCTCCATTGTCACTGCCAATGACTAATGTTAGAATGCAACTAACTACTGTCAAAGATTTAGGGGAATTTGCCAGTAGGTAAAAACAAAAACAACCCAATATCAGCAAAGTCAATATTTGTGGTGCAACTTGATTGTTATGTTGAACTCTGTAAAGACTATAGTCAATTTCACTTGAGTCGCTCTGCAGTGAATGAATTTGTGTTCTTTTTGGTAGATATACAACATCATTATACCCATAGTGAACAACTTTTATCTATATTTGAACTATCACTGAACTGAAGGAAAACCACTTCTGGTTAACACCAACTTGAAGCTTGATGTATATATCTTTTTGCTTAGCCTAATATAAAATTGATGGCATAATCATAAACTGTGCACAACTGTGCATTTTGTGCCTCCTCATTTTATGTCAATATGTGAAATTGACACTCAAGTCATGATATAGGTGTATCTATAAGCTCTGCTATCAATGATACCTTGAGGAACTATTTTTTGAAGCTTACAATATGTCCTTATAATCCTCTTTAGTGTACTGGCAAAATATGCTTTTTGCTCCCTTTTTACACTCTTTTGTTGGTGATCCCCTTTTTTACACTTTAAAGCTTACAATTACAGCTTCTTTGAGCTGCTTCAGGTTCCACTTCAACAAGAACTGTTTGATAATTCAGTGGTCTGGAGACAATCCAAACAGCTTGGCAGGTGATCAATTTTCTCTATCACAGTTCACAAATTGACAGAGTCAACATCAGCTTTATCTCTTATTAAAATTTTCTAGTATCTAAATATTATCTATTTCTAATTATTAATTACTTTATAATATTTCTCTAAAAATAGTATCATGTTACTACTGGTTTAGACAGTTGTAATTTGTTTTTGATGGGTTGCTTATTTCATTTAGGTAGTAAAATCATTTTCTATGCCTTTTCTCAGAAGAATTGTTAGAAGTAGTTAACAGGGGCAGTATTGTCTTTTTCATGTTATTTTTTTTCTCTTATATCTGCTGTAACTTTCCTAAGGGTATTGTAGTCATCTCAGCCTTAGTAGAATGCTAATACAACCTGGTTCGACAGTAAGGAGAAGTGAACAGATTTCTCCTTTCTAGTCTTCCCTCTTTTCTTCTCCTTTTCTTCTCTTTCCCTTCCCTTTCTCTTGCTATCTTCTTCTCTTTCTTTCTTCTATCCTTTCCTTACTTTATTAAAGTTGGAACAGTAAACAATAAAACATCTTGACGGATAGAATTGAAGCTTCCCCTAGCACATAGTGGGTTTAAAATGTGGTTTAGAAACCCTGTTTATGATTGTCTGATAACTTAAACAATAAACACTACTCTGGAAGCTGAATACATTCATATGTAGTTCTTCAGTTTCATTTTTACATGCATTGGTGCTAGGGCCTACTTATAGTTTAAGGGGGTCTTCACCAATATGCATGATTTTTTTTTTAAAAAGAAAGACAACTGCTATTTCAGAAAATGAAAAAGAACAACATACAACAATATCAACTCTCAACTTTGGTTCTCTGTTTCTGGGTAGATTTAACACCATTATTGAATGATCATTTTCTCCTATGCATTCTATGTTTCAGTTTCTCACTCTGTATAGCACATGGTGAACTTTGCAGGTCTGACCCTTAACTCTCCAGGGGATTTAGCAATTAGTCTTGGCACCAGTGACACAGTAAGCTAAATTACAATATCTTATATTATTTGGTCATGTATTAATATTGAAATTCTTCAAATCGAGTACCCAAATTTGTAACCTTATTGATTATATTCATTCTCCCTGCTTGGAGAATATACATCGTAGTAAGAACTCTCCCATTGATTTAATGTCAGTACAGGAGATCACACTAAGAATGGTGAATCCACAATGTGTAAAACTGATGTTGAGAAGTCATGTCATTCTATATAACATGGAAGGATGGAATATAGGATTTCCTCTATGGAGATACCTGTTGGGACCCAAATACCTTCCCCAAACCCAACAAAGGGAGTGGAGCAGGCCACTACCCATCAGCAGTACTCAAGGAGGCAGAAAGGACAGGCGACAGAGCCTCAGAATTAGTTACACACAGAGAGGGTGATTCTGCCGACAGAAGATATTCCCTCCATGATATTTCCCAGAGTTAGTTATCCTACCAATCAGAGGATATTCCCTCTATGATTACACCTGTAGGCCAGCTATATAAGGCCATACTCTTACAATGAAAGGCATGAATGAATATCCCATGTTTCTCTCTCACTGAATCCCTCTTTTCCTACCTTCCCTTCTCTTCTTCCTCTCCACTTTCTGTTTCAGGAGGTTAAGCCACCCTCAAAGGGGCTTCCAGGGTGAGCGGTATCTCACCAGGTTGGTATCAGAGCAGGGTTGCAGACCAGCTATGCCACAGACAAGATCCTCTACCATGGAAGATAGAGTCGACCAACTTGAGATTGGGTTCCACCAAGTACTGAACGAACTCAGGGACCTCAAGGTGGTCATCTCTAACCTCGCCTCCCAACAACAGTCCGGCGAGACCAGTCAGCCAACAGGGGCCGATGCCTCTGTTTTCGGTAGCCAGGGAACTGGGGGTTACCCTGCCGGAAAGGTTACTAAAATCAATTTTCCAAACTATTCCAGTGGAGATCTCATTCCTTGGATCTTCAGAGCAGAGAGATTCTTCGAGTATCATGAAACCCCTGCACACCAGCACGTCGCCATCGCCTCCATTCACCTAGAAGGAGACATTATTCTCTGGCTCCAGGGGTATCGACAAACCCATCCTCAGGTAACTTGGGCGGAGTTCACAGAAGCTTTGTGCATCCATTTTGGGCCAGCGGCATTCGTGGATTACGACGAACTCCTCACTCGACTAAAACAGACTGGGACAGTAGCATACTACCAGCTCAAGTTCGAAAGAATGGCGACCTGAGTACATGGATGGCCGGAGAAGGCCTTGGTTGGGTGTTTTGTGGGAGGTCTCAGAGAAGACATCTGCCTGGAAGTGAGAGCTCTTTGACTAGCGACAGTCATGGCGGCGGTGGGTATGGCTCGCTTGCAAGAAGAGAAGATTGATAGCATGCGCAGGACCAGCAAGCCATCCTATCCGAATGTGAGGGCTCTCTAGCAAGCTGAACAGCAACCCCAGAAACAAGTTGGGGATTCTCAGAAGCCCATCTTGCCCAGGCCCACTGTGCCTTTCAAGCGCCTCTCGTGGGCTGAGATGCAGGCCCAACGCGAGAAGGGCCTCTGTTACAACTGTGATGATAAGTTTGGGTCGGGCCATAAGTGCCGGGTCCAACGAGTATTTCTCCTTCAAACAGAGGGAGAACCGGAGGGGACAGAACCAGAGCACATCGAAGACTGTGAGTTGATATCAGGCGAACCAGAACCTGTTGGAGCCGAGATCTCCCTACACGCTCTCATGGGCCTCAACCCTCTTCAGTCCATGCGAGTAGAAGGAAGATTGGCTGGCCGATCTGTGATGGTTTTGATTGACAGTGGCTCTACTTTGAATTTCATCACTTGTCGTTTGGCAAAGCAACTAGGTATGACTATACACCTCACTCCTCTCTTTTCAATCCATGTGGCTAATGGGAATCAGATGTTATGTGATGGTGTATGTAAGAAGGAAAGGATCCTCGTACAGGGCCATAATTTCGTGGTAGATCTCCACCCATTGGAATTCTCGAGGGCTGATATTATTTTGGGAATCCATTGGTTACGTGGCCTAGGTCCTGCACTGTGTGATTGGGCCAGAATGACAATGGATTTTTGCCAAAATGGACAAACCTGCCATTTGCAAGGGGTGCGGCCCCCTAGTCCCCGAGGTGATACTTTAACCTCTATAATACGGGCCTCCAAGGATACTGGACAGCCCTTGTTTTTGCACTTAGGCATTCGGCCCACCGTTCCAATTTTAAACAACCGGGACTGTGACCAACCCACTGAAGCCCAACACCAGACCCTAAGATCGATCCTTGATCAGTTTGGTGACATATTCAAGGAACCGAAGCAGTTACCTCCACCCCGGGCCCATGACCATCAGATACCCCTCTTACCAGATTCCAAACCAGCCAATGTGAGGCCATATAGATACCCTTATTTCCAAAAGCTGGAAATTGAGAAGGCAGTAAAAGAGCTAATGGACAAGGGGCATATATAGACCAGCACCAGCCCGTTTTCATCCCCCGTACTCCTAGTGAAGAAGAARGATGGTAGTTGGCGGTTTTGCGTAGATTACCGGGCCCTGAATCAGATTACAGTGAAGGACAAATTCCCAATACCCCTCATTGATGAACTGCTGGATGAGTTACGGGAAGCACAAGTGTTCTCCAAACTGGACCTGCGGTCCGGGTATCATCATATCCGCATTCACCAGGCTGATATCCACAAGACAGCCCTTAGGACCCACGATGGCCATTATGAGTTTCTGGTTATGCCGTTTGGTCTTACCAACGCCCCCTCCACCTTTCAGGCCCTCATGAATGACATCTTCAGGCCTTTCCTAAGGCAATTTATTCTGGTATTTTTCGATGACATCTTGGTTTACAGCAAGGAT